GATCTGGGAAAGAAAGGGGTAGGGTTGTTTTAGGTGAGCTGAAATGAGGGTTGTTTGCTATGGGATGAACAAGGCAGAACGAAGTGGAGAACCAGTGGGTCAATACTCGCTTCGATGAGCTTAATGCCTCATCACTCCCCCTCCCACAGTAATTCAACATGGTTCTATTGTTGGACTCATTTTAGCTGATATTAGAATGTGTATAATTTGTTGTTTTATCAAGTTGTCGGCAGAAAATGTGTTAACGATTTTGAGCATTATTTATTTATTTTCTAAGAAAACACAATATCTAGGTCCAAAAGCTTTTTTTTTTTTTACCAAGCTTTTGTTAAAACCCTTAGATGCATAACTGGGTCTTTTTTGACCCGGTGAGGTGGTTTTCTTGAAGTATCTTTGTAATTCAATTTTTTTTATCATTTCATATTCCAGCAATTCCTCAAAAAACATGTTTTGGATATCATGCCATTCAAATAAAAAATTTACATTTTAAGAAATTGTAGTTTTTGTATTACTACCCCAAGCTTCCATAAGTGGGTCAAACATGACCCGCATGCATTTTCTATGGAAACCTATTGGAAAACGTTTTTTTTCAAAATGTAAAAAAAATGTCTAAAATTATAAATGGTGAAAAATTAAATATAAAATATTTCTAGTGTGAACCAAAATATAATACTAAAAGTGTTTTTTCTTAACCAAAATGACAAAAATGGCATAAAAACAGATATTATTCTAATACGGGTCCTTTTTGACCCACTTATGGAAGAGTGTAGGGTCCAGTCACTCGAGCATCTAAGGGTTAAACAAATACAATTGAATAACATGCAGGTTCCACTTGTGATTGTTGAAACTTTTCTTTTCCTTCAGTCATAAAAATACCTTCCGAAATTCACCACTCATTAAAATTAATCTAAGCGGTAGTCCAAGTTGATACAATGAATAGTATCAGATGGTACATAAATCAGCAATACAATTAATCATGTAAATATATGCCTGCGCTTGTGTTCTGTTGCCAAGGATGCTTTGCTCTCATTATTTGATCCATATACAAGTCTGCGTGGCCCCTTGCTGCTAAAAGGTTCATTTTCTGGCAGCAAGTTTGTTGTTCTTCATGAAGTCCCCACGTTGCTTCGAGCATCCTGTTGGCAAACGGCGAGTTCTCGCAGAACAGTGGGCTCGTCCCCTGCTTATGAACCTTTGTCGTGTAACATGGTAACACACACACACACCCAAACACACACTCACACTTCACACACACTAGACACATCTAACAAGCTAAGGCAGGAATTGGATCCATGTATGAAAGAAGGCCGAGCGAGTCCATCAAAAATGTATTCTTGAGATGGAGATGGAAGAAGAGCGTTAGACCCGGAGGGGTGTGATTCGAGAGATAAAGATAAGAAGGAAAATAAAGATGGTGAAGGAGAACAAGATGGAGGGTTGCAACAGAGAGCTGTGTGAGAAGGAGGCGCAGGAGACGGAGTGTGCAGTGCGTCTGTTTTTTGCTGATACAGATCAGTTCATAAAGATCGCACATGATTGCCTCATAACAAGGGGGGTATGCGAGAGGATGAGATGGAGAATGCAGGCAGAGGCAAGCAGGACACGATGAATATTGATAATACTGCTTGCCTTCCCTGCAGTTGCTTTCTTTGTTTTTTCGGGTTGTTTTCTACTAAATGGGCCCTATATGTTAGCCTGACTGAAATCGGTAAAGCGAAAGAATCAGGGACAAATTACTATTACGGAAAGAGAGTTCCCACTTGAAGAATCACTGATTAAGATGAGTCCAGTTGGTTGGATGTTGT